TTCATACATAATACAGTATTAATATGCATACCTGTATTATGTATGGTAGTCGCCGCGCCGTTGTGATCGAATCTATGTCATCACGTACTATGTTTGAATTGCTTATAAGTATAAACTTATAACTTACGAACAGAACCCGGAGGGCATAAATAATTACTCGGAGAATCATTTTTCTTGTTTCACCACATCGTTCAACTAAAAATATTTCGAGTTGTATGGTCCTTAAACTCTAAACTCGAAATTATTATAATAATGTTTTTGTTTTATTTTTGTATTTATTGAGCCAAGCTTACACATACGTAAGCTGTAATTTAGAATATACAGAAATATTTAGTCAAGATTTATTTTTATAAGCATTTTAAGTTCAAATATTGATGACATTTTTTAAAATCACAAACATTTTCAAATTGTTTTAAAGTCAAAAATTCATTAAATGTCTATTTTTACAGCTAAGATTTGAGAATGTAAAACTGATTATCAGGAATACTTCACACCGGAACTTAAAAATTGAAGTTTAAATTAATAAAATAGGTAGATATTTTAACGATGAATAACGATGTTTTAATAATTTTTTTATAATTCAAAAACAATATTCTCGGGAACTTAAAATTTTTACGTACCATATAATAATTTTCACTATATTATGTAATTACATTTTCATAATATGTAGATTAATTTTAAGATATTTTTAACATAGGCGTGCGCAGACTCCTAAAGTAGGTAGTGCCCATATATTATTATCGGCCTTTTACATTAAAACTTTGGACTTTTTTTTAAGCTTAATGTGCTTTCAATAAACATATAATACAAGTTGCACGCTACCATACGTCATTTCTGATGGCGGGTTAACATTTAAGTTAAAATTTAATCAAAAAGAAAAAAATAAATGAATATTATCGATAATAGATGATCACAAGTTTTACTTTGTAAATTGAACAATTGGTTTCTCAATACACAATTACAATTAACTCAAAACAATTTTTAATAGTATAATACAAGTTAAACTGTATACAGGCTTTCAACAATAGTGTACCACAGTATTTTATCCTAATTTTTCAAATTTGCTTTAAAAAAATAACTTAAAATTGATTTTTGTAGTCGAGGTATATTTATTTGCAATTCGATTGAGACATTGGGTACTTCAGCCCATGAAACTCACAGGGCGTGCCTAGGCACACTCTGCACGCCTATGATTATCAACTCATAAGTTAATAAATAATAATGAGAGCTGAGATTTTGATGCAAAGGTATCTTTTTTTTCTAACGCTCGGTGTACTTCGTTCAGTTACGTATTGCTTACAAATAATAAGGTACTATAATATGATATGTATTACAGTTTATCTTAGTACGTTGCCATGATGTACATCATTACTCATATAGGTATATCAACTGTCATATTGTTTGATAGTCATATTCCGGCAATACGAGTTTTTCTTGATGTTTCCGCGTTAAAGAAGAGTTCCGTTTTATTAAGTTCAACTTCAACATCTATAAAACTATAGGAACATGCCAGGACCATAAATTCGTAATTGATAAGTTTCTGATTTTAGGTCCGCATTACACAGTTTACTGTATATTTTAATAATTAAACACCCCGCATGAGTTAATTATTAATATTTGTAATCGTTAAAACATCTTATCAGCTATACAGTATTAATATGCATACCTGTATTATGTATGGTAGTCGCCGCGCGCCGTTGTGATCGAATCTATGTCATCACGTACTATGTTTGAATGCTTATAGTACGGCTTATAACTTACGAACAGAACCGGAGGCATAAATAATACTGGAGAATCATTTTCTTGTTCACTTCGTTCAACTAAAAATATTTCGAGTTGTATGGTCTTAAACTCAATTATTATAATAATGTTTTGTTTTATTTTTGTATTTATTAGACCAGCTTACAATACGTAAGCTGTAATTTAGAATATACACAAATTTAGTCAAGATTTATTTTATAAGCATTTAAGTTCAAATATTGATGACATTTTTAAAATCACGTATTTTCAAATTGTTTTAAGTCAAAATTCATTAAATGTCTATTTTACAGCTAAGATGAGAATGTAAAACTGATTATCAGAATACTACACCGGAACTTAAAAATTGAAGTTTAAATTAATAAATAGGTGATATTTAACGATGAATAACGATGTTTTAATAATTTTTATATTCAAAACAATATTCTCGGGAACTTAAAATTTTCTACCATATAATAATTTTCATATTATGTAATTATTTTCATAATATGTAGATTAATTTTAAGATATTTTAACATAGGCGTGCGCAGACTCCTAAGTATAGGTGTCCCATATATTATTATCGGCCTTTTACATTAAAACTTTGGACTTTTTAGCTTAATGTGCTTAAACATATAATACAAGTTGCACGCTACCATACGTCATTTCGAAGGCGGTTAACCTTTAAGTTAAAATTTAATCAAAG